TATATATATTTTATATATATATACAGCTGAAGTAAGAATTATTCGCCCTCCTTTCAATTTTAATTTTTTAAAATATTTTCCAAATGGTGTTTAACAGATTCAGGAAATTTATTTATTTATTATTTGTTTTAATTTGGCTAGAATAAAAGCAGTTTTACATTTTTTAAAGCTCCATTTTAAGGTCAATATTATTAGCCCCTTTAAGCTTTATTTGTTTTCGATAGTCCACAGAACAAACCATCATTATACAATAACTTGCCTAATTACCCTAACCTGCCTAGTTAACCTAATTAACCTAGTGAAGCCTTTAAATGTCACTTTAAGCTGTGTAGAAGTGTCTTGAAGAATATCTAGTCTAATATTATTTACTGTCATCATGACAAAGAGAAAATAAATCAGTTATTAGAGATGAGTTATTAACACTATTATGTGTTAAAGAAATCTACTCTCCGTTAAACATAAATTGAGATATTAAGAATAATTCTGACTTCCACAGTATGTATGTGTGTGTATGTATATATATATATATATATATATATATATATATATATATATATATATATATATATATATATATATATATATATATATATATATATATATATATATATATATATATATATATATATATATATATATATATATATATATATATATATATATATATATATATATATATATATATATATATATATATATATATATATATATTTAAATGTCTGGGTAAAAAACTAAACCTTTTTCCTCTTTGAAAACAATATATCCTTTTGATATGTTTTAAGATTTACGATATTTTGGAGCAGTAAACCCGTCAGGCTATATAAATCAAATCAATCACTGACTTCTGCTATCTTTTATTTTTTTCAAGAACACAGTTTTCTTTACAGTTTAAAGCAGCATCTTTGGATATTTTTTCTGCTGGAGATGATTGATAAATAATGATGTGAAACAGGTGATGGTAACAGGTTATTGTAATTATGATTTGGTACAAAAGCAGCCTCCAACATAGGTCGGGTCCTTCAGGAGCAAAGATGGGCTGAGGATCGCCAGTTTGCCAACAAATAGGTGAAAAAATAATTAAAATGTTTAAAAACAATGTTCCTCAAAGAAATAAAGCAAGACATTTGGATATTTCACCTTCAACAGTGCATAATATCAATAAAAGATTCAAGGAGTCTGGAGGAATTTCAGTGTGTAAAGGACACACTGCACAAGACCACAAGCCGAAGCTAAACAACCGTGATCATCAGGGATTGACCATCACACAGTGGAAACGTGTACTGTGGTCAGATGAATCAGTATTTCAGGCCAGGTCATGGGAGCAGCACTCTTAGGAGAGAACCCCAGACTTCCCTTTGCCCAGATACTTTCTTCAGCTCCTCTAGGAGGATCCTGAGGCATTCCCAGGCCAGCCAAGAGACATTGTCTTACTCTAGAGTGTCCTGGGTCTTCCCCAAGGCCTCCTACCGGAGTGACATGCCTGGAACACCTCCCTAGGTAGGTGTCCGGGAGGCATCAGAAACAGATGCCCGAGCCACCTCAGCTGACTTCTCTCAATGTGGAGGAGCAGCGGCTCTACTCCGTTCTCCTCACAGGTGTCTGAGCTCCTTACCCTGTCTATAAGGGTGCGCTCTGCCACCCTTTGAAGGAAACTCATTTCAGCTGCTTGTATCCAAGGTCATGATCCAAAGCTCAAGACCATAGGTGAGTCGAGGAACAAAGACTGACCGGTAAATCGAGAGCTTTGCCTTTCGGCTCAGCTCCTTCTTTACCACAATGGACCAGTTTATTGACTGCATTACTGCTGCCGATGCACCAATCCGCCTGTCAATCTCATGTTCCATTCTTTCCTCACTTGTGAACAAAACCCCAAGACACTTGAACTCCTCCACCTGGGGTAAGGACTTTCCTCCAATCTAAAGACGGCAAACCACTTCTGGAGCACCATGGCCTCGGACTTGAAGAAGCTGATTCTCATTCCAGCCGCGTTACACTCGGCAGTAAACCGCTCCAGTGCATGCTAAAGGACATGTTCGATGAAGTCAACAGAACAACATCGTCTGCAAATAACAGAGATGAAGTCCTGTGGTCCCTGAACCGGACCCCCTACAGCCCAAGGCTACACATAGACATTCTGTCCATTAGGGCCGATAGACATTACGATGCTGAGCCGGCATCGCGATCCTCCACCCCGCCCCCTTCGCAGCAGCAACCTGCTTGCGAAAAATACACACTCAGGCCCCGTTTACACGAATACGCAGGGCCAGACGGAATCTGCGGACGTTTTTTGCTATTTCTGTGGAGAATTTTGGTAAAAATCTGCAGATTTCTGCTGAATGATTTTGGGAGTATCCAGCGGAGTATCGTTACTAAAACCTTAATATATGAAAGAAAAAGTAAAACCTTTTTGACTTATTTAATGTTTAAAATGCAAATCCAATTAGATTCACTTTATTTGGTAAACAAAGCAAGTCTCTCATATAATACATCTGCTAAAAGACAGAAAATATGACTACAAACTGCACTGTGCCAAAATCTGATGAACATTTTCATATTAGTCAATAATATTACTTTAATTAATTAAAAGAAACTGAATAAATACAGATTTACACACATTTACTCAAGTAAATAAACAGAATTAATGATGGTCTAAACCAGGGGTGTCAAACTCAATTCCTGAAGGGCCGAAGCCCTGCACAGTTTAGTTCAAACCCTGCTCCAACACACTTACCTGTAGGTTTCAAACAAGCCTGAAGGACTCAATTAGTTTGATCAGGTGTGTTTAATTAGGGTTGGAACTGAACTGTGCAGAGCTGCGGCTCTTTTGGAACCGAGTTTGACACCTGTGCTCTAAACAAACGGCGGAAATCAGCGCGCACAGGTTCCGTGTGTGTCTACGAACACGTCTTAGTTTGAATGGTATTTTAGAACAAAAACGATCCACATCCACACTAGCGTTTCACCTAGCATTTCTGAAAAGCCTTCCTTCCACACTATAAAGCTGAAAACAACCACACACACACTCTGTCATGCACTCTAGCCTATGCACATGTCTGAGCTCCAGGCAGTCAGCGGGTGCTTTGAGCACAAAACCTCAGAGAGCAGTGCACTTTGGACAGTTCATCAAGGATGTACTGCTGGAAGGCGTCTCACTATAGTTGTTAAAGGTGATCTTTAATTAATCTTGACTCTAACGACTCTTTGCTCTTTTGAATCTATCAGGTAATGTGTCACAGCATCAGTTTTTTTTATTTAGTTATGATTTGGTTATGGTAAAACTAAGACTATGCAGGTCAGGTAATTAATTCTTTAAGAATTTATTAATTATTCCGCCTATGACGACGATGCCGTCGCAGTGTTTCACATTAGACATTGCACAATGCCAAATTGGTCAACATCACCCAACCCCACCATCCATAAAAATGATCAAAACTATGAATGACAGACCCTATGGACTGTTGTTATGGATTGCTGAGAATACATTTCAGGCGTTCAATAAACTGCGGGTCTGTCTTGAAAATAAAAACAGGTGGTTGACAAAGTCCTTGATTATCATCCATTTGTACCTGTATGAAGCCTGGAACATTCAGACTGTTTCCAGCAACAAGTCCAAAAGCCAGGGTCTGTCATGGTATGGGGTTGTGTCAGTGCGAAGTGCAAAACACGACAACGAAGACCGCGTACTGTTGCCCACCTTAAGATTTGTGTGCAGGAATTGGTCTGAAACACTTCATCACTTGGTGTCTTCAGTCCCTAAACGTCTTTTAAGTGTTGTGTAAAGAAACAGCAACATTATAAAGTGGTAAATGCTGCACTGATACGACTTTTGTTGAAATGTGTTGCAGGAAGCAGCATTGATATACGCGATTATTTAAAATAAAGCAGTAAAATGATGAGGAACAGATTAAATCATGTTTGCTGTATTGTCTGCAATGAAACACAAGTCAAAGTAAATGTAGAAACGGCTTCTTTCTCTCTTTATCTGTGTTCCCCATACTGTCCCACTTGATCTGATTTGGGGTCGTCAGTCATCAACAATCAGAGCAAAATGTGAAGTGAAAAGACTCCATTTGTAGACATTTCTTTTGTAGGTCTGCAGCATAAATGAAGATCCAGCACTTTTACATGTCCCATTTAAACAAACTTATAGATGTCAAATAAATGAGCTCAGATCAAATTTACTTCGGCCTTATGATCATAAATGTGTAATAAAGATGAAAATAAAAGACAGCTGAGTGTCCATCTCTGTTTCCCCCTGAGAATAGAAAGTGAATTTACACTTCTCCTTTTATTGAAACTCTTGAACTCTTTTGCCTATAGTGCAGACGATACATCAGATGAAGTGTTCAAAGCTTTTTCTGAATCAGGAATAAACACAAACCTGTTTGTTCTTCAGTGTCTTCATCTGTAATTCTGCAGGGTTCTGGATCACTCATCTTCCCACTGTCCTTCAATAAACTCAGATTTGACTTCTGTCTGAAGGTCTGATGCTCGTCCTCACTTGTAGACTGATGGGAATATTCCAGTATTTATAGCTGAAATGAAGGAGGAGGAGCTTCACTAACAGAGAAACAGATCTGCCAAGACTAATGTAGTGTAGCGTGTGCAAAACAAAGCCAGCGGCCTATTGATGTCTAATAAACCAATAGACAACACAAGAGATGAGCACATTCCACATCTACATTATAGAGATGAGCATGAGCACTTAAAGCACTTCTGGAGACTAATGAATGTGTCCAGGGGGCTGCTTCATAAAAGTGGGGATTAAAGTCAAAAGCTAAACGTCCAAGCTTTAATTGGTTCCATAACAGTAAGTTGTAGATCATTTGATCTAACTAGTCTGAGCTCAGTTTAAATAATCTAGATAACTACTCGTGCACATTACTGTCGTAAA